AGCGTCGTGCCATCATATTATGGTTTTTGGTAGAGAAGATTTGAACCACAATTTAAGTAAAATCCAACTTCATTCTGAAACTTGTGCAAATAGCTGAAAAAGCTAAAAATGATCCATCAATAAGCCAACTTACAATGAATATTTTGAGTGGAAAATTTTCCATGTAGGAATCCCCCTTCTTGAATCCACAGCAAACCAAAACAACCTAGAAGTTAAGAAAGAAGAAAAAACCGGGACATATACGTAAATTTGACAGCCTCGAAAACCTGTGGAAATTACGAAATGGGATTTGGGATTACATACCATGGAGTATATGCAAGCCACAGTTGCATAAAACACAAGATTGAAGAAGGATTTATAGTTTGCATAACCAACACAGTTATTTACCCAAACACAATGGTGGTCCTGCCAAGTTACACATGCAAATGTTCACACACATGAACCCGAAGCAGTCATCTCAAAAATTGTTATGATGCAACCTACCATTTTCAAGACACATCTCCTACAAACCCGGCAATGGTGAGTCCGAGGAGGCTTGTAAGCCGAGCACTTATCACAATGCCTTGTTTCTGTACCCTATGATTGATTAAACAATGGTGAGACCTGAGTGGAATTATCAAATTAGAACAATGATGCTACATTGCAATTGGAATCAAGATTTAAGATTTGAGAAAATTACTTTATTATATCAAGTAGCATCTTTTAACAAGCTAACATCACTAGAAGATATCCAACAACTATAGTCATATAGATTCTTGAACATTCAACATATCCAAAGTAAACTCGGGTACCCATATTACATTAGCAACTGGCTCAAAAGACTAAAAAATGGTGTTACTTTTTAGCAGCTCGAGTTTGATTTTCATTACCCATTCTCATCACTAACCGAACAGAAACAAAACCCTAATCACAGAAGAATCTCTGTAATACGAGTATACAAACACAGAAACATCCCAAGATGTAAATTCGGCAAAAAACCGGAGCTTACGTTATGATGGGTCCGACGTGAATCTTCCACATCAGGGGAATAAGGTGCCGGAACACGACCCGGATCTGTAAGAACACAGACAGAGAAAGAGAAGAGGAACAGAGAAGCAAAGAAGCTGAAGATGATCGCGTTCAATGTCCCAGCTGAGCTCTGCAAACCCACCCATTCCTCGATGAAGACGAAAAGTGTGACGTAATACACGAAACCCATCACCAAAATCACCGAGAGAACCGGGATCGAGAAGAATCTCCGGCAATTCATCGCCAGATCTCTCCGGGTTCGCGAACTCAATGCCGAGCTTTCTTCGCCCGCCGAATCCCGTCAGGGAAAACGTATTGAATCCAGAAATTTATTTTCTTTCTTTAAAAAATATAAACTTGGTCAAAGTCTCTACTATGACATGGCCTCGTATTATTCGTGAAGAAGGAGACCAAGATACGCCGCGTTGCACCATAATATTGCTCCAACGAAAATAGAAGCCCATATAGTCTCACAGATGGGCTTTGTTGTCAATTATTGGGCTTGAGGGTTTTAATACATGATGGTGATGATGATGATGATGATGATGATGATGATTAAAGCATATATCAATAATATTCCAATGATTAAACCAGTAGGTTATCATATTCAAACATTTTTGAATGTTTAAAAAGGAGAAGAAGAAAAAATATCAGCAAATTAATCTAAAAAGTTACCTTAATTTTTTTTCAAAAAAATTGATTTAACATTTTTTAATTCACATTATTTTATTTAATCTATCTAATCCCAAAAACAGTAACATTAAAGTTTTCTGATGTATAAAGCGAGTTAAAAAAAATATTCTAAACCATATGTTCAAAAGTTAAGGAAAATACCGTATCAATAGATGGAATATATACCTAAAATCCTAATATATATTGAAACTGGTTTGTTAGTTAGACTGATATGGTAAGTGGGAAAAAAAATGAAATCAAATATTTTCCATAGATTTGAAAAATGAAAAAGGATATTAAAACCATATTCCTAAACATTTTTAAAGGTGACTTCCTTTAAAATTTTGACATATTTATCTCTTATTAAAAAAAACTATACGTACATACGTACGTACGTACGTACGTATGGATGGATGGATGGATTCACGTGGGATTTTATTTCGTCTTTTTAGTGAAGTTATATAATGTACAATTTTTCTATAGGTGTCATAATTTTCGGCTTCAGAACAGCTGCATTTGGGCCCTTCTCATTTATTACATTTACAAAATAAAACCTTATGTTTTGACTTTGTCTTATTGTTTCTTTATATCTCCAAATAAAATTAAAATCTCTTCTAGAATATTCAGGGAGAAATAAACGAGTGAGGTTTGTTAGCAGAAGATCATTCTTTTATGTCTATATGAACCATATTGTGTTACTGGATTCTCTGGACCATCTTAGTTCCAGAATGTTTGGAAGATATGTACACTTAGGTTGGAATCTTGAACATGTTCATTTCGGTCGGAATCTTTGATATAACAGCATGAACTTAATTTGCCATAGATTTTAATTTCGAATTTCATGGTTATGAACAAATACACAAGTCGGGGGACCATGAATTTATGGTGCCCTTAAATTTGTCATAAATGGTATTGACGGGGCATAGCTTAGGGTTACACTTTTTACCTACAGAATTGTCAGAATCGATGTGTACGAGAAAACACATGCACAAGACAAACACATACATACATACATACATACATACATACATACATACATACATACATACATACATACATACATACATACATACATACATACATACATACATACATACATGCATGCATGCATGCATGCATGTGAAAATAGTACAATCAATTAATACAAAATTTATACTACAGACGATTGGTTTCCATATATATATATATCATGTCCCATTTTATGCATTGGTGGAACATGCTGAAACGTGTCTAGTTTTATTTCACGAATAACCAAAAAACAATATCGTAAAAATATACAAATTAATTAGTGATATCGTACCTTTGTACAACATGCATGCATGTGAGACCAGATGACCATGACTTCACACGCACGCGGGCTTCACCATCTATCATTTTGCACCTAGGCCAAATTGGTCCAACGTACATATTATCCATTTAATTTTTTTCGTCGTTATTCGCACTAAATTTCGTAAATCATTAACTTTATATATATATAATACATTAGTTTAGACTAATGTATAATCCAAGTCATCTTATGATATAGTTTTTATGCGATCTTTTTGGTAAAAACATATTTTTAAGGATATAACACCATCTTTTAAATGTAATAGAATGTAGTTTCATGCGATATTACATTTATATGTTACATACATGATACATACGCCAATAAATAACGATTTATTCAATTTGAATATGTAAATTTGGAAGACTATAATAACCCAATATTTTATTGGATTTGTAGACACATATTTTATAGAGTACTTGTCGTTATGATTGATAATTAAAATTTTTAAACGGGTAATATATTTTTTGTAGAATTATTAGGTCGTAAAGAATATGACTTATAATATACACAATGAAGAAATCCAAATCAAATAATAAATATAATAATATGTAAATTCAAGTTCTCTGTATGTCCGATATATTAAGAGAATTATTTTTTGGAGAATTATCTCCAGATCTCTATATATATATATATATGTAAAATCAAATCCTCTGTATATTCTATACATATACACTCATGAGTCATGCCCGCTGCGAGGATTTGACATCTGGAGGGATATGTATTTGCTGGCACAGTTTATAAAATCTCTGTACCACAATAAATAAAGCGTGATATTATTACGATTACTTTGCTATTTTGACTTTAAGGTATATAACCTTCTTTGTCTGTGATTACGTGATACGAAATATAATATGATCATATTTTGATCTCATTACTTATAACGTTAAATTTATTATGTTTTTAGTCAAATGATTAGTAAGGTATACAAGATATGAACATAATAAATTAGTGTGATCACCATAAATTTAACGTTATAATCAATAAAAATTAAAATGTGACCACACTATATTTTGGGTTATATGGTCACACTTGAATGGTATGTGTTGAAATCAAAATAGTAAAATAAGGGTATTTTTTATATAATGCTCAATAAAGACGCGAGTGGAGAAACAAGTCCAAAACCATAGATAGACGCATCACAAACAGAGGCGAGAGTCCGTATATAAATGTATCCCTTCGAGGTTATATTTTAATGTATGTTTATATATACATACGCATGCATGTGTGTGAAATATGATTAATCCACTTAAACTCTATAGTATGTTAACTATACGATTCAATAATCATCAAAATACAGCCACCACTCAGATATATAACCGAGTGTTTTGTCTCAAGCTCCATACTAATTCTAAGGGTATAAAGAGTTTATATTAGAATTTGCGTTATCCTCTCAACCTGAGTCTCGAATTTGGGACGAAAGATATGTTTTGCATCTTTTTTAACCGGTTGAGATATCCAAATTGGGATAACTCGATATATAAAATAGTGTGTGTTTTTTTGGCAAAGTCGATAATATTGTGTTAATATACGCACACAAAATGTGTGTGTATATATATATACATATAGTGTAGAAATTGAAATCCTATAGTGAAATCGTAGGTCGGTCCAAATGCTACCTGAAAGTTTCAGATCATGCGATACCCAAAAGGCCGAGTGAGGATCCAATCACCCACCCCCTGTCTATTCGCACAGCACGGCAATTTAAGTTTGGTCCCTATCTATTTCCCACGTGACCTCTCTCTTTCGTTTCCCATTTTGTCTTCTAGGAAGCATCCCTTTTTTTTAAAAAAAAATGGGTTTAAACCCAAAATTATTTCGAATATATAAACAAAATGGCATGTTAAATTTATATTATTATTTCTCTATTGATACATATGTATATATGTGTGTGTGTGTGTGTTTTGTATACGAGCATGTACTTTTTCATATATCATAAGCTTTTACCTCTTTACCGTCCTTTAATTAGTATACTCCTCCGTTTTTACCTTCTCGCGATATTATGCCGTTGGCTGGTCAACGATGTATAGATCAACGGTGGAGGAGGGTTTGGATGCAAAACTACATAAAAAAAAATATATCAAATATCTTTATTCATGTTTATTTGTTATATTATTATCAAAATTAATTTTACATAAAGTTTCCATATAGTTTAGTACATATCATTAGTATTGGCGTTTGTATCATATAAATCCATTACATTGAACAAGATAAAAAAAATTAATAAAATTTTAGACAAGATGGTAAAGTTATATATATTACATGTTTTAGATTTCCCATATAAATATGTAAAAATTTGAAGAATAAAAATAGGAATAACTTTTTTATGGTCCACCCCCTTGAGAAGATGTCCCCACACAGACGCTTGGAGGCGGAGTTTTCGGAAGCGGTCGGTTTCAACTTTCAGGCAGTCCGCATAAGTATTTTCCATACTGATAAAACGCAATCGCGATTCCAATCCCAATCGCAATCGCCAATATAAACGTCGCGTCAAAAACACAATCACGTCTGAAATTGTGGAGTAGATGTGTGTCCCCTCTCATGTACAAGCCTTTTTCTCTCTTTTTTACTATACTCAAAATCTGAAAACCCTAAAATGTCGATCTTAGATTGAAGAAAGTGTTGTACAATGTCATATTTGTAAATATTACAAATTCATAATTCGAACTTCGGACTATGTATACTCAATGGCTAATAATATTGGACAAACGGGCATTCAATTCAAGCATGATATACAACACAACATTCAATGTTTTCCACTAAATATGTCTAACCACGAAACATATATATATGTATGTATGTATATGCATATCCTCGGGTGGAAAATCGTGGTGTCTATAATAATATAATAAAAATATAATTAGACAAAAAAATCAACATTTACATACAAAACAAACAGTTATGACATGACAAAAATCAAGTGATATATTTTATTCGAGGATAAAATTCAACATTTACATACAAAACAATGGCCAGAATGATCTGAATATCCAATCTCATATCTTTTTAATGCTTAAAATTTAGTATTTTTTACGAATATCATAAGTACAATATTTTTTAAAAATATATATTAATCAGAAGCGTTATTTTTCTTATTCGGTGGCAAAAACGTTTTCCGATCAATTGCTTGCTTCTTTTTGGCCAAACCCTAAGTTATATTTGACCCACAACAAAATAAGGCATGACTTATATATATATATATATATATATATATATATATATAGAGAGAGAGAGAGAGAGAGATTTGTCGAACCAAAACCCAGAAACCAGGAGAAAGATGATGAAAATTACCCAAAGAAAAAAGCATGGC